GTGTGGATGGGCCTCCCTCCCTGGCCCCCTTTGGCTGAAACCTGTCTCCGTCTGCCAAGCCCCGGCGCGCTCAGATGCTCCCGTACCTGCAGATTTCAGTGCTAATGGCGCAGAATTGTGCTCTGGAGTCTGAGTCCTTGAAAACCAACGTCTCTAAATTCTCCAGCTGCAGAGATGCTGCAAATCCCCGTATGGGGCGTATGTGATGGGGGCCTGTAGGGCCGCCAAAGGGCAGGCGCAGCGCGGAGCTGTGAGGCTTTGTGCACATGCAGACCAGCTCCACTATGTGCACGCTCCGGGCGGGGCCTTTATTTCAGTTTAGCACGAGCCGGGTGGTGATGGGATCCAGCAAAGCTGCACGGGGAGGCTGGGCATCCCCACAGAGCTAGGCACTGGGTAGCAGGGTCAGAGGCTCGTGGCTCCCACCGGCCCTGGTGGCCCTGTCCTGCGCTCTGGCCCGCGTCCCCTCCCAGCTGTGTGTCTGTTCTGCAGAGTAAGGGCGGGATCCTCTCCAAAGCCTGCGACTACATCCAGGAGCTGCGGCAGAGCAACCACCGCCTCTCCGAGGAGCTGCAGGGCCTCGACCAGCTACAGATGGACAATGAGGTCCTGCGGCAGCAGGTGAGCCTGGGATGCTGGGAGCTGTCCTGCAGGCGCTGGGGCCCAGGCAGCTGCTCCTGCATCCTCAAGAACCAATCCAGCCAGCTAGAGCAGATGGGCCATAGCTTGGGGTCGGGCGGGTGACTGCCTTATCTGGCAGCTCTAAGGACGTGAATGGCCACAGAGCCTGGCTCTGCCCTCAACCCAGGCTGCTGCCCTGGGCAGCAGACAGGGCCTACCCTGCCGGTGGGCAGAGAGGGAAGGTGCCCCAGCCTGGCCAGCCCGGCACTGCTCTGGCACTCCGCGTGCCCATGGCCACTGTAGGGCATGAGTCGGGGAAGGAGCTTCCAGTCCAGTTTGAGGCGGCAGCCCCCCTCTCCCACCTCCCCATCCTCCCGCCCTGGCTAGGGCAGAGCCTAACGCCCTCTCCTCTGCCAGGTGGAAGATCTGAAGAACAAGAACCTGATCCTGCGGGCACAGCTGCGTCAGCACGGGGTGGAGATCATCATCAAGAATGACACCCACTGACTGGCACAGGGCGAGGGGGGAGCGGCTGGCCCTAGGCCCTTGGGGTCTGCCAGGGCATAAGGCGAGGAGAGAGACCCCCAGTCGTAACTGGCTGCAGGAAGCAGCTTTCACCTGCTGATGCTCCTGAACTGCAGGGCCTCGCTCTTGCTGTACAGACCCGTAAGCAGCAGTGTCAATGTCCTGGGCCTGACCAGCGCCTGCGCCTCCCCGGAGCCTGGCCCAGAGCCCCTGCCGTCCTGCCTCCCCCAGCACTTGCCCCTCCTCCCCCGAGCCTGGCCCAGAGCCTCCACCGCCCTGCCTCCGGTCAGAGACTCAGCCCAACTTCTGCAGCTGCGCCCCGCAGTGCTCCCACCCAGCCTGGGCCAGAGACTCGGCCTGCTGCCCCTTCCCCGGCAGAGCTGGTTTGAATAAAGCTGACGCTCTCTCTTTACACAGTATTTTTATTGCTACAAGGTAACAAGCTGGTGTTCTGCTCCCAGTGTGGCCCTCGCGTGTGGGCAGCCAGGCAGGGCGTGTGCCCGGTCACGGGGCCATGTGCACTCACATTCACCCCCTGCTACCTCCCTTGGGCCTCTCCCACCCATGTGCACGCAGTCTCCGGCTTGCACGGTAGCACATTCACAATCTGCCGCCCCCCCAGTTCCCCTCTCCTGTGTGCTGTCACCTCCTGGTCCCCACCGGAACCGGCATGGACGGCAGAGCCAGGCTTCGAGCCGCCCTGTCCTATCTCACCCCTTTCCTCTGCCCAGCTTCCCCGTCTGCTCCTCCGTGGAGACGGCCACTTCTTCCAGAGCTGCCGCTGGGCTCCGGCGTCTGCCCCCAGGCAGGCGCTGCCTTTGGCCATCACCACCCCCAGCCTGGCCTGTTTGACAGTGGTGAGTCAGCCATTGGCACTGGGGAAATCACTTCCCTGCTGCCTGGAGCGCCTTCACCTGTTGCCAGCTGGCAGCTGAGCCCCTGACCCCTTTCACTGCGGGGGAGGCGGATGCCGCAGCGAGCGCTACCCTGCCTCCCCTCGCCCCCCTGCTGGCACTGCCTGGCTCCTCTAGCCTCTGACTTTTTTAATTCTCTGAATTTAAAAAGCAGAATAAATAAACATAGTGATTTGTTTTTCCATGTGGTGCTGCTTTTATTTCACTGGCACGTTCCCCCCCTCCCCTTCCCCCCGATCCAGCCCTGAACAGGGTGGGTGGGAAAGAGGCCTGGGTCCCCTGCTGCACAGAGCTGGCTCACCTACAGTGGGAGGGCCCAAAAGGGGCTGCCATCATCTGGTCTGAGCTGCCCCTGCAGGCCAGAGAACTTCCCCAAGTGGGACCTGATGCCCTGCCCCCACACACTCCAAGAGGCTGTCCCCCAACTTTGGAAGATGAACTCTGGAGGGCGGGGGAGGGAGGGAGGCGCTGGGCTGGAGGGTCTAGAATGAAAAGCGCCAGGGGGCTGGGCTGGAGTTGATTTGCTGCCCCCACTGGGTGTCGGTGGAGGCGCTAATCCCCCCAGTGAGGGTCTGCGGAAGGGCCCAGTGGCCCCTTCATGCCCGTGTCCAGCTCTGGGCAGGCAGGCTCCATGGGGGCAGACAGGGCCAGATTAAGTTGGCTTTAGGGGCCGCAGCCCTGGGCTAAGGGGCCCCAGAAAACAGAGCTCCAGGTGGTCAAATGTGCAGAGCTTTTTCTGGGGCCTGGTCCCTGGGCTGCAGCCTCCAAATCCCCCATGTTCTGGCCCTGCCTGGCATGGGGCGGATCACTTCCACACACTGCCCTTCCTCCCCTTGCCCCGTGCTGGGCTGGAGCTGCAAGCTTGGGAGCTCCCTCCGCACCTGCAGGCTCCGGCCCCAGGAATCCCGGCCAATGGGATCCGGGGGGAGTGGTGCCTGCAGGGCAGCGGGCAGAGACGCCTGCTCCTCCCTCCTGGGACCTGTGCCACCGACGGGGGCCTGCCCCAGCCCTCAGCCCCCTCCTAACTCCACACCAGATCCTGTACTCCCCACCCCCACATTCCAGGCTCCTGGCTTGAGCCCTCTCCCAGCCCCTGCCCAGATCCTGTACTCTCCATCCCCGCCTCCTGCCCTGAGCCCTTTTCTGCACCTAAATCCCACCCAGACCTCCCAGCATTGAGTCCCCTCCCACACCCTCCTGCTGCCCTGAGCCCCCTCCTGCACTCCGAAACCCTTGGCACCTGGAGCCCTGGCTCCACCCCAAACACCTCCCCAGCCCCACCCCAGAGCCTGCACTCCCAGTTGGAGACCTAAGCCCCCAATCCCCACTGTGAACCCCTCATTTTGGTCCCACCTAGGGGTCCCCACCAAATCTAATAGCCCCATGCCCCCAGAAGAGTTAATCCGGCCCTGGGGGCAGGGGTATAGCCAGGGTGGGCTGCGGCCTACCCATGTAGCATCCAGGCCCATCAAAGCCAAGCAAGGGGGTGGTGCTGCAGCGTGGGCACGGGAAATCCAGGACGGAGTGAGGGACCCACCTGTCTGAAAGCTCTGCTGTGCCGCGGCCGAGCCGCCCCAGCTGGGCAGGTGCAGCGGTGGCCGAGGGCAGCAGGGCCAGGAAGAGGGCGGGGCTTGGGGGAAGCTAACAGTTATTGAAAGTTGGGGCACACCCACATTTCCACTCTGGGGAAGGCCACTGTGTGTGAGGGAGGGGGGGCATTGCTGCATCTCCTTGGCACTGTCCTGCAGGGCAGCTGGTGGCTCTGGGCATGTGCTCATGGACTCAGGGCCTACTGCTGCCATGCAGGGTTAGTGCCTGATTCTGGGTTAGTTACATGGGACCTCACCGGTGCCTGTGTCCCCCTCCCATCAGCACAGGCTGGGCGTTGCCCCTGCCAGCCAGCGGGGGTGTAGCCCCCGGGCAGACAGCCTCCAAGTCTCGGGCTGGGCTAGGCCTTTAGCCAGGGGAAACTCGGTCTTGGAGCGGAGACAAATCTCCCAGGGGCCTGGGAAAGCTCCTGCCCCCGGGGGAACCAGGCAGCAGCCACAGGTGTCGCAGAAGCAAGGGCTGGTCCTCGCTCCATCCCTGGAGGGTGGGACCAAAAACCATCCTTCAGCCCCTCAACCCCGCTGGCTTCAGAGGCGTTTGCCTCCTGAGCATCAGGGATCCCAGCGGCCTCTTGTCTCCCCTGGCCCCCGGGCAAACGCCTTCCTTTTCCTTCGGCCTCAGGGTCCTGTCTCCTGCCCGGCCTAGTGCCCAGTGTTGGTGCTGCCTAGGCGGGGGGGCAGGTGAGTTTTTAAAAAATGGGAGGGGCCCAGCTTGAAACCCCGCAAAGGGGCAGGTTTCCAGGCCCCTGACCCAGGGAGAATCTGGCCTCTCCAAGAGGCCTCGTTCAGCCCCGAATCCCCTGAGCATCTCCCAGCTTTTTGCCATGCAAGGAGCCCTGGCGGGATGCGCCGAACCCAAACAGCTCCCACCCTGCTGGCTCCAGCCCATCCCCTTCCTTAGCTCACATGTTGGTGCTGCCAGGCCTTGGGAACTGCCCCTCGGCAGCAGGGGGTGCTGCTCCGCAGAGGCTGTGTCTGGGAGGCAGGGGCTGAGCCGGGGCTGGGCATTGACCCATGGGCAAAGGGAGGGGGCCACAGCGCAGGGCATGCGCCCTTTGCAAGTGCGATTGCTGCTTCCATCCGAGCTGGTGAAGGAAATGCTCGGTGGTAGGCCTGCCCTGCAATGCCAGTGTCCCCTGGAAGCTGGGCGCTTGTGCAGCCGCTCAGGAGAAATTCAAATGCTGCCCAGCTGATGAGCAGGTGCCCACAACTGGCTTTTGTATTTCTACTGGTGGTGCACATTCATACCTCCCTCGGTGCATGTAAAAAAATATTCCACACGTGGCTGGGAAAAGTCTGCACACAGATGAAAACATTAGAGGGAACATTGGTGGCAGCAAGTGGCATGGAGGGACACCAGCCTGGGCGAATTGGGGGGGGGCTCCTGAAGCTAGGAGGGGCAGCACTTCCTTTGCCCAGTCTGGATGTGGCTTGGGCACTGGGCAGAGGCCTCCAGTGCAGACAGCTGAATGGCCTCTGGGGCTGCAGGCTGGCCAGCTGCCTCCCCGGAAGAGGGGCTACCTAGCACAGGGACTTTCCCAAGGAAAGGGTCTGGGGTCTGATCCCCTGGGACGTGGGGCTGGCTGGGGTGGGAGGTGGTGGGGCTGCCCAGAGCTCTCCTCGGACACCCACTGCAGCCAGGCAGGTGGGAGCAGCATGTGCCAGAGAAGGGCCTGCCCAGGGAAACCCGGCCACTGGCATCAGCCCCAAGATCTGGGCCCTTTGGGCCGCTGCTCCTACACCAGGAATCCGGGGAGCTTGGGGGGAAGCGCCTGGGCTGGGGCTGACTCTGAGTGGTCTGAAGGCCGCCAGGCTGGCTCCTCTGCCTCACTGCCAGGCCGGGCCCCCTCCTCAGACAGGTGGCTGCTGCCACTGCTGCTGCTGCTGCTGCTCCTGCCCCGGGATGCGGCCCATGCTGGCCCCCTGGGCGGTGCTGCCTGGCGCCCGTCGCCCAGCCCGCGCTGGCGCTCGGCGTAGCGGGTGTTGGGGGTGGAGCTGCTGAAGACCCAGAGGGGCTTTGCTGCCGGGCTGGCCGTAGGGATGTCGCTGGAGAGGCTCTTGGCCACGATCAGCCGCCTCGGGGAGAGGCTGTCGACTCTGGGGAGGAGGGTGGCCAGATGGTTTCAACAAAAATACCGGACACACTTGACATTCCAGCACCAGCTACGCCAGCTCGGTTGGAAAATACCGGACAGTTCTATTTTCTCAACGTGTTTCCCGAACAGAGAGCTCAGATACTGGACTGTCCGGTTCAAAACTGGACACCTGGCAACCCTACTAGGGAGACATTGCGCATCCTCAGCCGGCCCTGGGCCGAGCCACCGCACACGGCCAGCAGGGCCCCGAGGGCAGGCAGGGGGGAAGTAATGGGGTGGGAGGCACGATGGGGGGTGTTGTATTGCAGGGGGCAGGGTCGGGGCAGGGAGAGGCGCTGCACTGG